CTCCCACTAATGATGTCTGCCGCCTCTTCCCTTAGCAAAACAAACATCAAAGAAGCCAACGATCACCTACAGAAACTTCATCAAAGAATATTTGAGCTGGAAACACAGCTGCAGCTCCACTCACTGCACGTAGAAGACTTGCAACAGACTAACGCAGAATTGCAAAGACAACTAGTAGCTAACAGAGAGTCTACAGGGTCTCTTTTAAAAGAAAAGGAGAGAGAAATAGGAGAGCTAAAGTCTCAATTAGAAGCTAAAGATCTCCAAGTACAAAGATTGCTATCAGCAGCTGAAGAGAGAGATGATGTCATGCTTAAGTTGGAGGAGAAGTCAAGAGTGTTTTATGAAGTTGCTGAACACAGATCATCACTAGCACAAATACTGAGAGTATTGGAAGATATCAGCCAATCAAAATAAAGATATTGTTGTATATAATTCATTATTTTTTGTAAAAAATGTTGGGGCTTGTTCACACCTTAGAGTTGCCTTTTAACACTTTGTGGGCGGGGCTGAAAGTAGGTGGGGCTGGAATGCTTTGCATGCATGCAGTTCAGTAGTTTTTTTTTTCTACAACACGCTTGGCAATAGCAGCACCAATATATCCACCCGCAATAGCTCCTATTATAGTACCAGCAACAGGTACAATAGAACCAACAATAGCACCAATACCAGCACCTATTGCAACTCCAAAACCAAAAACAACTATTTTGACAATGCACCACCATGATACGAAATGGTATGGTTTATCACTGCAACGAATAATACACATCTCCCACAGTGACTTCACCCAGTCATCTGTAGTAGGTAACTTCTTTTCATCTTCTACTCTAGCAATACAATACGGTATTCCCTCCAATACTTCTCTCCTCACACGATTAGAAAGGGAACCAGTAAGGAATGATTGGTATTCTTCAATTTGCTTTTTTATTTCAGCCTCCAGGTCATTGGACTTATTGACACTCTCAAGTGTAATGAATTGGTTTGCTTGTGTCAGTACAACAACTATCTTCTTCCACATTTCTTCATGTAAGACAGAGGCCAGTTCCAAGAACGTGTCTCGATCAATTCTTTCTCCTAACTTGGTACACAAGAGGACCAGATCATACTTTTCATGCCTCCTAATATTTCTTAAATAACTGTGATCACTTCTGCCCCCAAACCCAGCTGTATCATAAACCCTTATCCTAACTCCTTTGTACTCTCCTTCATAAGGATGTATTCTAGATGTGACAGGTGTTGCTCCATATCCAACCTCAGCTACATCCCTCCCAAACATTGCATTGATCAGTGTTGACTTGCCAGCACCAGTAGGACCAACCACTAATATAGTAACAGGCCTTCCTCTATCCATTGATATTCTATCATGCAAAACTCCCAACTTTTCCTCAATTTCTATTGAGAGATGTTCATTAGACACTTCAACTTCAACTGAATTTGAAGGTACCGGGTATAAGCCTTGCAGTCAGTGCTCAGTAATAACTGAGGTATTAACTAAGCCAGGACACAAGGACCAGCCCCTTAGTGTTCATGTGGGAGTATCATTATGAGTCAATTTGGATAAAGAATCATTACTGACCTTTTTTTTAAAACTTTTACAAAAGGACAATAAATGAAAGTACAATAATTCCAACAATTAATGAATGTGTAAATGATACAAGGGCATTAATAGTAGCAGATAAATGAAGTGTTCTTTAGTTGTAGAATTAGTTCAAAAGAACTTTCTTGCTTTCTTGTTAGACCCAGTGTAGTATCCTCTACCATACCCTCCACTGCTGCTGCTGTAGGAGTGGCTCCTTTTAAAAATGTTTGGTAATGATCTCTTACTATCTGTACCAGAAGAACCTGAAGATAACTGTAAAACAAAGAAATTATAATAATAATGATTATTGAATTAAAAATGAATTTTTGAGCACTTCCTGTTCTTGTTAACACCTTGTAAGTGTTAACAAGGTGTTAAAAATTACAAATTGCTTTAAAAAATTTAAAACTTCTATTGATCATTAGCTTTTATACTACACAATAATAATAACCTACTGATAATTGGGGCGAGCAAAAGCGAGCCCCACTAAGGCGAAAAAGCTGGAAGTGCGTCTGTGTGTGTGTCTGTATGTACGGGTAGTCTAACTATTTTTAAAAGTTAATAAAAATTAATAAAAAGCAATAAAAAAAGCAATAAATTCTCTCATGTGCACCATTAATCGCCACGTGTCATTAAAGAAAAGTAAAAAAGAAATGAGTCCAAGAAGCAGTTTAAGCAAAGAAGAAACTCGTCGTAATTGCCGTAGAATGCTCTATAGGCAGAGGATGGCGGCAGAAACTCCTGAAGCAAGAGAAGCAAGGCTTGCTATTAGGAGAGTCAAGGATGGAGCTTGCAGAGATGCCTGTCGTGAAGCAGCCAGGGCTCAGTCAAGAAGAGAGCAAGAGACATCAGATCTACTGTATTTCAGGCATGTACAGTTGCTTAGCTTGCTCATAAAAATTATACAGTACAAAGGCTTGCTTTTGCTCGCCCCTTTAATGTTATACATTCGTCTAGTATTATTCATTGATTCTTACAGTAGGTGAAGTCAGTGATGGTGTTGTAGTTAGTTTATTTCTAATGAATCCACTGGTCACCATCAGTAGTGCTATTGTCATTTTTATCTGCCAGTACTCAATGTGTTCTGGTAACTGTTCTTTAATTGGCTTTAATCTTCCTACGTCTGTAAAATTACAAGTGGACGCCCGTTAAAATAATGAAAGGTTATCCGTTGAATAATGATGAGTTATCCGTTAAATTTTGAGGTACCTGAAGATATAGGAGGCCTCCTTATAGTGTCAGTAATGAGCTTCTCAATCTCTTCAGTAAAACCCACTAATGATAACAAATAATAAATAAATTTATTAATAAATAAATAATAATGATCTTAATATTATTATTATTAATATTTACATTCTCTATAGTTGAGCATGTAGCCAGCTTCATAACAATCCACTAAGTGTCCCATGACAGTCTGAACTTGAACACCACGTCTTGAAGCAATCTCCTCCTATAATACAATAATTAATAAATATATAAATCCTCTATATCTGGTCTTACCACACTGAGTCCTTCCCTTGTATATGAATCATAATATGATCCATTCTTTTCACTTATTGGACCAATGATGGACTTACGAACCTTAATGGCCACCTAATGAGGATGAGGTTAAGTTGGCTGTAACTTGAAAAATTGAAGTCGGAATCAGCTCAAACTTGCTACACAGCATAAGGACATCAATATGTATCAGAAAATGTAATAAAAATTCAGGGTGATTTCGGAGCCATTTTTTGGGAAAAACCATGGGCTATAGTACAGGGATTTTTTCAGATTTTTGATGTTTTCTTAAAATGGCCGTAACTCAAAAAATTGAAGTCAGAATTAGCTCAAACTTGCTACACAGCATAAGGACATCAATATGTATCAGAAAATGTAATAAAAATTTGGGGTGATTTCGGAGCCACTTTTTGGAAAAAAGGTTTCAAAATCTTCTCAAACTTTCTGCGCAATATAAGTACATGTATATGCATCTATTATTATTATTATTATTATTATTATTATTATTATTATTATTATTATTATTAATTACTTGTATCTCCCCAGTATTAGTGTCAGTATCTTCTCTTCCTTTGCTCAGTTCAGTGTCAGTCCTGAGGGTTGGATGAGCAGTACAGTATTCTTTTATTTTCGTTAGTAATTTCATTCCAAATTTGGTGATAAATTGTTGAGAGACTCCGTCAATCAATCGCAATGAATCCTCAGCAGTGGGACGAGATAAAAACAGATTACCTGATGATAATAATAATAATAATAATAATAATAAATAATAATTAATAATATACCTAGTAGTTTGTTTGATGCTATCATGAAAGGAGGTATGTCAGTTTCATGTGCTATTTGGTTTCTGTAATTGACCAGCTCCTCATACAGTGCACTCTGAAATATGACACACCCACCAATTAATTAATAATAATGCTTCTGTCTCTTTGTCTTTAATTGGGACATTAGCTCCACCCACTGCCCCGCCCACATTCTTCATGTTAACTAATAATACATTGTAACTTGAAGGATCATCTTTCAATGGAATTATCAATGAGGAATCACTGCTGGCTGTAAACTATTAATAATAATAATAATGAATATTAATTAATTAATTAATTACCGTGTCTGCTGCTGACGAGGTATATTTTGGATTAAGACTTGAGGGAATCATTGAACTAAAAATAAACAAAATAAAATAAATAAATAAATAGTTTATAATTACTTTTGTTGTTGTTGTTGTTTATCGTACGCTATCATGTCATTGGTTGGTATTACATCAATTGTTGTACCGTCTGGATCTGATTCAAACCTATCATACCACCTGCTCCCTTTAACTTAACAAATAGAATAAAAAATTATATAAATGAATATAATTACTTGATAAAGATACTGTACTACCAAAACCATTAGGAACGGATTCTTCTCTTAAGTAATGACCAGAAATAAGAACACCAGCTGAAGGAGAGGGAGAGAGAGAGAGAGGTGAGAGAAGTTTAAATTCAATATTCTTACCAAATGACTTCCACCATTTCTCAGAATGATGTCTATGAATTAACTATAATTAAATAAATAATTAATTAATAATACTTACAATCCTTTCCCATGCACTGGATGCTTCAATATGTACTTTGGAATCTTTTGTGCTTTCTAAAAATAGTAACACTATGAATATTAATTAATTAATTAATTAATAACATACTGATCCTCTTAAAATTGATACTGTCATTGTAATGCCATAATCATTTCTCAAAGCCTGATTAATAAATTAATAATCAATTAATTAAATATTAATTAATGAATACTTTAATCACGTCCATCAACAGTTTGGCATCTTTTGAATAATTTGTTTTAACTTGAATGTCACCTCGTAAACTAATGAGTGGGCAGAGTCATTAATTAATTAATTAATTAATAGTGACCACACCCACTTACAATCTCCTACAGTTATCACAGCAGTCTTTATGACCTCCAATGTCAGTGGAAAGATTCTTACTGAAGTGTTCCAACAGCAATCTAAATTGTTGAATCAATTAATTAAACCATTAATTAATTAATGAGGTACTTTCTCCGGCATTCTGATGAGCTCAGGAGTGTCATCAGTTTCCTCAACATTTTCTGTTTGTGTTCCAGGAACAATGAATCACTGATGTCCTTTAGGAAGAACCTAACGAGAGAATGAACATAAGAACACATACATAATGTATCAAGAAATGTTATAAAACTGAGGAAATCTCTCCTTTCCATTTTTGGTGAAATTTAAAATCACTTTGACCTGATTTTGGAGCAACTTAAAAATTTTGTAAAAAATCCAAATTTGATCGGAATCAGCTCAAACTTTCTACATAACATAAGTACATGTATATGCATCAGAAAATGTAATAAAATTCAGGAATTTTCTACTTTTCATTTTTGGTGAAATTTGACAAAATCCCTGTACTATAGTACAGGGACTTTTGTCCGATTTTGGAGAAACTTTAAAAATTCGTAAAAAATTCAATTTTGATCGGAATCAGCTCAAACTTTCTACACAACATAAGTACATGTATATGCATTAGGAAATAACAAAAACCATGGTGTGTGTGTGTGTGTGTGTGTGTGTGTGTGTGTGTGTGTGTGTGTACCGGTTCAAATTGAAGTCACTGTCTGAATAAAACATGTAGCACTTGCTGGGAGAACTGGATAAGAAATAAATAAATAAATTATAAATGAATAATGAATAATTAATGAATACCCATCTCTTCCAGCTCGTCCTATTTCTTGATAATAACATTCAATATCTTGTGGAGCTAATAATTAATTAATAATTAATAAATCAATTAATTATTATTAATTACCTGAATAATGTATTATTAGCCTCACATCAGGTTTATCAATGCCCCATACCAAAGGCAATTGTGGCAACAACACACTGTAAACAATAACAACAACACACTATAACAATAACAACAACAATAAACAACAATAAACAACAAACTGTAAACAAGACAATTGTTGTTGTTTACCTGTAGTTCATCTCTCAGGAACTTATGATGTACCTC